GAGCATCAGCGAATACGCCACGGCTTCTTGGATTTAACGGCATTTCCATAGTTCAAGGAACGCCTGAAACGAGTAGTTGAGAATTCGGCAGGAGAAGCGAGGCAAAATGACACGGAAAAGAAGAAATGCAGAAAAGTCGCACAGTGAAAATTCTTTTTATTGCAGCATTCAAAAGTTACAATTTTATTTCACTATAATGTATACAGTCTTGGCGAAAAGTATTAGACACCCCATAAAATATGAATTATTTAAAAAATATTTTTTGTATTAGAAGGAAATGAAACTATTAAAATTTGAAAACAACCATTTTTTATTCATTTGTAAAGTGCACAATCACAGCATTTTCTCTTGGTATTTTACCATATTTTTGGAAAAAAGTATTAACTTGTCTCGATGATTACTCAGTTCACTTTTTTTTTTTGGCACATTTCAAGGAAAATACTTGCTAACTATCAAAATATTAACAGCTAAAGACAAGCTGTCGATTGATAGCAGTGAGTACTAAGAGTAGACTACGACTTTTAGGAAGAAACACAAAACGTAGACTTTGGATCTCTCACTTATTTTATGACCCACTATAAACCTTGTCAACTGTTCGAAAATTCCTTTGAACTGGCCGACAAAGGATGACGAGCGATAGAACGGTTTCGAGGAAACTGTTTTCCCGGTAAGTTGCAATAATAAAGATGTCCAACACATTTGACCAAGCCTGTGTAAATTTCGAAGGAACAACAAAAAAATTGAACGCATCGAAAAATATCATCAATCTATATTCACCGTTACAGGGAAATCTTCCCTTCTTCCTCGCTGGTTCCTAAGATTTCCACCATTAATGTTCCACATAAAAAAATAATTAAGCACCGCTACACTTTCCAGATATTCTCCAGCGTCATTAGTGGCGCACAAATAACAGTAACGTTCAAATTACCTGTCGTTAGTCGCTGGCAAAGAAGGGCCACCTTAATTTTCCGAGAATACTAATTAAGTATCACTAATTAATTCCGTAGGATGATGTAATTTATGCGAACGGCTCGTTACCAAACAGGTGGTATTCAGCGGCTAATGACCTGGGAACACCAATAATTCATTGATTAACGCCATCTACTGAATAAACAATAAGCGCTCCACTTTACCGCCCCTCTGTCCTCTCTCTCTCTCTCTCTCTCTCTCTCTCTCCACCTCGCTTCGCCCTCCTTCCCTCTCCCATTAGAATATAACAATCAAATTTAATAAGACACCGTGATAATTCATTATAGGCCGCTCTCGAGTGCTTTCTGAAAGCGTTCACGGGAAATTTAATACTTTTCCAGCATACCACCGAAAACATTATCTTAATAGGAGGTCTCATTAGGTCTTAATTGTATTCCAGAGTGTATCTCGATTTAACCTTTTCTCTCTCTCTCTCTCTCTCTCGCCGGCGAGAAAGAAAATGCAGATTCGAAACTCCGTTCCGTTTTGTCCAAGATTGAATTCGTTTTAAAGCTCTCTGTTTCGCCGTTTCTTCCACGTTCTCCCCATTCTACCACGATATTCCACCGAAGCTGAGCGTCGAAGGAAGAAAAGGAGGTAAGGGAGATAGGTGTGATACGAATGCACCGGCCGTATGTCGGCAATTTATCGAAGAGACCGCTCGCGACCGAATAGGCAAGTGACTACCGAGCATTACGAGGTCTTCACAGCGATCTGGATAAAATAGCGTATAATTAGATAGGGTGTAAGATATATTTGGAGCGTGTCCATGTTGGCCTGCGGCCAGAGTTCACCCTTTTGATATATACGTGCAAACGAGGTCAAGAGGGTGCCCTCGCCTCATAGGGATAGGAGCGTGAACGCGTTTGGTAACGCTCGCACCTTGCGAATTGATTAAATCCGCTGTAAATTATCTGACGTCGTTCAATTTCTATCGAGATAGACCTACTGGTCGTGGTGTATTTAACAGATTTTATTGTTAACAATTGAAAAAATGTGGATAAGTGACAGGATGAAGGGTGCGGAAACTATTCTTCACGGTGTAGAAATATGTGTTACTGTTAGACTGCGGATTTTCGTGCAAATTCATATTTTTATGAGTATAATAAAAAAAAGAAATAGATGCTTGATAGGCGATTGTTTTATTCACTAAATATTGTAATTACTATATTTTTGCTCACTCTGAATTTTTGTACCTTCAAATTTTCCATAAATGCATAAAAATCTAGTTACAGTCTAGTTATTATGTTTAGACAGGTGGAAAAATTTCTGTAGTTCGAAACCTGAGAGAAAATTTTTTCACTTGTCACTTATGGTTCGAGCTGCAAAGGTAGTCTTTTTCTTCGAGTTAACGATAGACTGAATAGTTTGAATATTAGGAAAAATTTTGAATTACAAAATTTTTTAAAAAGAACTAAAAAAATTTTTGGTTGGAAACCTGAAGGTTTGTAAGATGGTACCTTTTCTTAACGAAAGGCTAACATTTGTGGAAGAAAATTTTTTCACTTGTCACTTATGGTTCGAGCTACAAAGGTAGCCTTTTTTTTTCTAAAATCAACGACAGACTCTGATTAGTTCGAATATTTTGTGCAACGTTAAGAAAGATGTTTAAAGGATTAAAAGAATGGTAATCTCGAACTCTGTCCAGACAAAGTGGGAATTCTTGAAACATGAAATCACAAGGAGTAATCTTAAGTGACTTGTTGTTCTTCGGAAGTGTTTCGAGAAGGTTTTAAAGTTCGTGGCGAATTTTTAACCGGGTGAAAGTGCTGTACACAATTTCTAACGTTGAACGAAAATTCATTCGTTGTTCCTCTAATATTGTACACCACACTCTCCTCTGTTTTTCTTAGAATATAGGTTTTGTACTTAACGAATCTTTACGTCAGCAGCTGATAAATTTTCGAACGTTGCTATAAATTCTCCAACGGGCGAAAGTTTCATATCAGATATTTCTTAATTACACGTTCGGGCTTAACTTGTCAAGTGTGCGCAATTAATTTTCTACGGTGTTAAGCTAAGCTAAAGCTCTCTCATGGACGCACGCAGTGTGTTCATAAATGACGGGGATTACGCTCGGTACTGTCGACTTACATTGTTATCTAATAATTCTAATTAGCGTTAACGAACCCCATCCTGTCGTTTACCTCGGTGTTTCGCGATATCGAAGACTCGAATTACGAATACTTCTACACACACGAATCAATATTAGCGTGTTCGCGGTATGTTATCGGTGTTATTAAATTAGGCGAAATATTTAATCATTGTACACTTGTTTGGAGAATCTTTTTACGTGTATTCAACTAATTTAAGTGAAATTTCTGCTGCAAATGAAACATGCGATACATTTTCTAAATTTGTAGCATTTAAAAAAATCCATGGTGTAGGCTTTTTGGGACGGTTCATGGCTTGGCCTGCGTCTCTTGGCGAATGACAAACTCCAGGCCGGAGTACCCATCGGTTCGGCCCAGCGATATCTTTGCCATTCGACGTTCTTAGCTTCGGTAATAGACGGACGCCGAAGAGTCCGAAATAAACTACTTTGTACGACATCCTGATTTGAGTAAAGATCATTAGACCACCTCCTACAATGGACAACATAATTTGGTTATTACTGCAATTTTTCAAAAAAATTTTTATTACAGCCTTGTGACTGCAAAATTGCGATTGAGCACAATCCCCGAGATAAAAAATACAGTATGTAACAAAAGTTCTTGGACTGAGATTGCAAAAATATTTGATGTATATCCTGAAATTTTTATAAAAATTTAAATTATTTTATTTAATAAAATTTAAATTAACAGTCTTCCACTCCACCACAATAAACGAACAAATTTTCATTACACATTACAGAGCTGCTTGCTTTATCAAACCAATTCAGTCGCGCAAATTCACATCAAGAATTCTACCTTTTACCAACCTACGTACATACATATACGAACGGTACTAATGCCCGAAGTCTAGTTACATTTCTCTAAAGAGACCTACGGTGGCCGTTAAACGTTACTCAGAATCCAGTTGTCCATTCCCTCGCGTATAACGTTCCCGTTCGCGTGCTTCGGCGTTTCTAGTTTGATTCACAAAAGGTCTAACCTGCTTCGAGAGCGGCTATGATTCTGAGCCGAGGAACAGGCTGATAAGAGGCTCGCGATTATTCACCGTTGAAATTCAGTTCCTCGCGTTGCAAACGGTGCACGACGTGCCCTTACTCGACGGTCGAACGAAAAGCCGGGCCGCGGCGGCGCGGCTTTAGCGCGGCCCGGCGCGGCCTAGCGACTGATTTGCTAAAATTATTCTTTAGGTTGGATGTAACGAGCGTGGTGTTGCCGATAACCGACAGGAAACGGCCACTCGTAAATTTTCCTCGTATCATATGATTCACGAAATGGTCTGGTAGTTTCATTATGTTCTATGTAATTGGTGACTCGGCCCCGAGACTTCGTGTGTTCCGAAAATGGACCCTTCCCTACGCCAAGATAACGGCGCAACAATAAATCATCTTACAACGGACGGTTCATCGAAAAGTTCGTCGTTATCTTCGTACTAACGACTCATATTCCATGCGTTCTAGATATATTTTAAGACCTAACAAGGATTTTTTTTTGATAATCTTCACAGTGTGTGCGTGTGAAAAATGGCATGCTAAATGCAGCGGGTAATTAAAGCAGGTGAACAGAGAAAGAATAATACGATGATTAAGAGCGATTAACTGCCACGGCGAGAAATAACGTGCCCGAGTATATGTATACTATATACGGAACGTGCTATGAATAAAATTTAAGTTAAGAATAGAGAGACTTTTGAAAGAATTGTAGTTTTCTGTAAGAGAAAAGCTGTATGAAATATCATCTCGTTTTAAAGTGTATATACTTGATATTTTACCAAGCAGTAAAAAAAAAGAAAAATCGACCGTCCATTTTGACTCGTTCCATTTACCAAGAGTACATACACACATTCGCCGGTACGCTTTAAGGGTGTAAAATAAACGCTGTTACTTTCTGTGTTTCAGAGAGCCTTAGAGAGTACTTCACCAAGTATGGGGACATCACAGAAGTCATGGTCATGAAAGATCCCACCACGCGACGATCAAGGTAAGCGTGTGAGATTTCGTGAAGTGAACACCTTTAACACGTTAGCCTGAGTAAAGAAAAAAAGAGAGAAAGCAACCCCTCTTTCTTTCCGGCACACGAAACCCAACGTCGAATTAATCGACCACTCGGAAAGAGAGAGGAGTACTCTCTTCCTATCTTTGCGTCTTTATGCATCGCGATAGCGATCCAAGAGAGGCATCCAGCGTTTTAATAGCGATCCGAGTATTCGCGATCGCTTATCTACACCGCGGTTTTATGGAACGTCGTTCTCTTCTGATCCTGAGTTACGGGGGCGTTTGACGGTCGACCATGGATTCCTAGGCCCCTTATTAGCAACGCCGCGGAATTTTGCGTTCGCGTGCTCGCGTTTCCTTTCGACCGCAGACATGCAAGCGGTGAGCTGCGTTATATTCTTGCGCATTATGCTAATCGCGTCTAGGATTAAACCGGCCGCGAATATATAATATCGGTATTCGTTAGAATAACTCGACGGGGATCTATCGGATTGGCTAGTTATTAGACCGCGGTAACGAGGATCGTAACAGCGAAGGCCCGAAGGTAGTTTTACGGATTTACAACGTTGAATAATGATCGGTTACGGCATTTTCAGAGGTAAAAAAGGAAAGATTGAAAAGGAACTGTCGTGAAACCCGATGATGCACGAGTTGTTGGTTAATTGAAACGTGGTATACAGGGATTTTGGATGAATTACGGTATTGACGATAGCACTTTGCGAATGTAAGTGGTTACGATTGATGGATGGTGTAACGAACTGCGTCTGAAATCGAGGTGGATTTTAAAGAGTCGGATGTTTTTAAATGCTGTGTGAAATCGTGGTTTAGTAGGTCTTTGTGTTTCCGCACTTTTCCGTGGGTATTGTTGCTCTTTAGTGGGGATGAAATTCATTACTTGTGAAGGAACTACTAACCTTTTACGTTAGAATCTAAATTCTACTGATTTCAGTAGCGGAAAGTATTTTTCAAGGAATTTAGTCTTCGAGCAAAATTTCAACCCTTCTACAAAATTTCTAAATTGGAATTTCGCGGAGTACTCGGCACAGGAAATTGCATAACGTGATCACCTCTATTATTTTCGTTAGTGAATCGGTCAAAATCATTTCAAGGTGGGGACACTAGATTTTTTATGCATAGAAACCAACTATCGACGTTTTGAAATTGCAATGCCCTGAATTTAAGTAAATTCGAAGTTTCAGATCAGAGTGAAAATGATTTTCACTTAAACGTTTTCATTCCATAGTATAAATAAAAAACCGTTTTTTAATTAGGTTTCTTAAATTGGTCTCAACGCCTGCTAACTGATAAGCGTAACAAGAAATGTATAAGGTCATACGCAAAAAAATTGAAACTATCCTTCAAAATTTATAAAAAAAAAAAAATGCAGAAAAATTTTTGATCGATCCGCTAATAACGTAAACAACATAAGTGATCACGTTACGCGATTCACCCTGCATACTACGAAATTTCAGTTTTATCGCGAATCCGACTCTTCTATTTACTCCGGCCAATAAAGAACGGTAAGCAAAGTGTGGAAAAGCGTGGACGAATTAATAGGCAATCGAAATATTCCAGGCCTGCTGATAACCTATTTTCGGCACGGTCGGGCTGTTTATGATAATGTCCCGCAATAGATACGGAAAAGGGATAACCGACACGAAATCCGCGTGTGCGCAGATGCGAGCCGGCTATCTGGTGCAGCGAGCGGCGAGTTGGTAAGTGCGATGCATCTGCGGTAGATAGCGAAAGGAAATAATGGGCGCCTGGGATCGCTCGGCGCGGCGGTACGCGCAGGTAAAGCTAGCTCGCGTTCGTTGTCACATTTATCTGGCTGATAAGTCTATTCTTGGCCAGCGCATCTGGGCCTACCATCTTCGAATACGTGGCGCGTGCTGGATGCCTATAAGCGTACGTGTCATTATTAATGTTATACACCGCGTTGCCGAAATAGAGCTTGCACACGCGTGATACGCTTCGGAGAACTGCACGGATTACAGTCTGGTTGTGGAGATTATTGAAAGAGAAGACGCGGACGAAGAAGAACGCTCTGTTGTCGGTTTACGTGTCGTATTTCTTCCTGAACGTACGCAACCTTTCCTCCGTTAAATAATACCCTAGATATTTTATTGTTTATTAGGTTGTGTAACGACAAATATGGGAACGAAATGTCACTTTTCTTTTGAATGGCTTCTAACACGAATCTCTAGTTTTCTCTAATACTCGGAAAACTTGGAATTTTTTAACACTCGATTAATCACTTGAACGATTAATTTTCGACATTTATGTAAACGATGAATTGTAATGTATTTGAGACAGTAGAACTTTATTAAAGGTACCTGCGCATACTGTTATTGCTCATATTGCAAATTTTCATATTGTTGCAAATCATAGTACATAATTTATCAGGTTTGCTTTCTTTCGTACAATTTAGGCGTACGACGAGCTCGTCAAACGAAGTCTCGAGCACTTTAAATAAACGGTTTACTAAATATTCACGAGCGGCGATAATATAGAGAAAAATATGGTCGTACGAATTGACATAAAAAAATCAGATAACTCTTAGCACGGTTACAAGGGAAATACATACTCTGGAAATACATACAAGCCATTTCGCCAGGTTGCCGTTTCAATTTTCCATTTTACGATACAGGATTATTGCCTCCAATAAAGTCACCCTAAACCCAGACACGAAGCAGACGTTCACACGATCCTCTTAAAAGCTACTCTGTATTCTAATTCGAGAGGTCGCGAATAATTTCACGTTCATATGCATGCTAGTGCTGAGAAACGTCCGTGGACCCTTTCTGCACCGACGTTTCGCCCCGAAAATATTACGCACGCGTCGCTCGCATATATATACCTGTCGAATAAAGACGTTCAAGCGGTGGAACAGAGCGGAAAGTGTAAAGCTGTACGCGGTATGTCGGTGAATCGATGAAATTTACGAATGGAAAAACACACTCGGTATCCCATGGCTGCAAGTGTTCGGTACCGAAATCAGAAATGCTCCGTTGATTTATTTCCCTTTTCCTGTTTTTCCACTCGCTACGCGATACCTCACAAATCCCACAAACCTTACAATTAGACACGTAAGGCCAACCGATGTCGCTGCACCCACGTAACAGTTCCATTGACTTTAACTTTAAACCTTCAAAAAGTATTCATTCACGACCAACAACCACAGACTCATCTCGCGACCAATATCATTGTGAATCGAAAATATAATTTATTTGTTAATTGTGTAAGGGATGAACGAACGGTCGATCAACATCTTCGTCGCGGCGCCTGGTCCGATCTCCTCTCGACGAATTCGCGCGATCGCTCCGCGCTCGGATGCAACATCGCGACTCATTTGTTTTCCACGGATTTCCTCGATTGCCTAATATGGTCGAGAACTGCGATTTCACCACCATATGTATAAGGCTGTCAACGAATTTTGGGAGCCTTGACGACGTCGGATCGCACACACACGCACACAACTCCATGCTCTCACGCATCTCAAACGAACACACACCCATGCCGCGACTTACATATGTGTACAGCGACTCTATAATTGTTAAAAAAAAGAATAGTGTCATTCAACCCAAACGTCGTCCTATCAAATAAATAGGCTTTCCTTTATAAGATAAGGCAAGTCACCGTCCAAAGGAAAGGGGGAGGATATTGTAAATAGGACGACACAGCAAGTACCGTTGAGAACACGAAAATTTCACGGGAGAAGTGTTAAGTAATAGCGTGTACGTACGCGAATTTATCGATGATTTTAATAAGTCTCGCTCGCTTCCTCTTCGCGTCTCACGGATACACACGTTCCGACACCGAGAAAACCAAAATAATCTCCGGCGTTCCCTCGCAGATATTGATGACGTCATTGCCACGTGTGGCCACGCTGGGAATTTCTGCCCTGTTCCACGTATCGAGAACACCGGTAAATACGGAAAGGCAAGAGTGACTGACAAGCCGAAGATTGGCACGTCTATAAATAATCGAGCCTTCTCGACGAATACATCTCCGCATCTCCTTATACACTTGGAACGCTTCCCTCTCGAGACGTGATTTTTCGAAAATCTCGGTCATTCTCTGTTACCTCGTTGTCGCGTTCCTTGAATTTTTGAACCTTTGACGAGGTTGATAAAAAGTGTGAAAATTAGAACGATTGAAAATTCAACGATAGACGAATTTTATGTGAATATTTGCAAACTTTTATTTTGAATTTGCATAGAATTTTCGAAATTTAGAATTTGAAAAATCGAGTGTTTTGTTAAAATTCTTCTTCTTCGAAGTTAGAGTTGGTGTATGAAAATGCATGCATCACGTGACAGTCGGTATTATCCCGAGATTTCGACACTCTTACGCGATTCTTACGGACTGCAATTTTGTTTTATTCGTTTTCAACGGGTACGGAGTTTAGCCGGAAGTAGAATACTTTTCTACCGTTTATTGCTCCATTAACGTATTCATTAGGCAGTCTCGCGTGACGTGGCTCGCGGAACGACGCACGCCCTCAGTTCCTTACTCGATTTCTTCTTGCCGGCGGCCCTCGCCGTCGGCATTCTTACTTATTTTTCACTTACGTTCCAACGTTTATTGCTCCGCGATAACGCCGGCATTTGAACGAACGCGCGGAAGTACCAGCGTTTTGCAAATTTCTCGACTGATGTATATCCAGTTTCTCTGCTGTCCTTTGACTGCCGCGTTCTTTTTAATTGCGGTGATCTTTCAATTAGCGGAAACACTTTGTGATGGATTGTGCTGTTCGTTTTACTAAGCAACGATGGAAATTTGACGATTACTGCTGCATAAATATCCATCTTCGCAAAGATTCTTCCTTTAATTTTCACAGTAGAGAAAAATTTCTTATAAAAAAAAAGATTAAGGAATATGCCAACTTTCAACTAGCTACATTCCCGTATCGAATATCTCTATCAATAGCAAATTCACCTTGAAAAGTGCAAGGATTTCATGGACTACGGTACCTAGCCTGGT